CCTCCCCACCCCCTGCAGGAGTAGGTAAATAAGGCGAAGTAGACGAGTTTGTCCCTGTTCCAATTCATCTCGTTAGATGCACCCCATCACTCCGCCCGTCAGCTTCTCTCTAGATCCCCTCTCTGTCATCTGGCACATTTGTCACTGCCCCCCGGCTGTGTGGCATCTGTGGATCTGGTAAAGTGCACGGAGCGTGCTGGTCCCAGAGGGAGCCCCTGCCCAAGCCAGCGGCTGGAGCCAGGTGCGCCTGCATGTGTGTGTATGTGTGTGTGTGTGTGTGTGTGCGCACGCGCGCGCATGCTTGCTGCCCTCCCACCTGGTCAGTCACTCTCGGCCCGGGCCCCTGCACCCAGCAGTTGTGGGTGACAGTCTCTGAGGGGCACGGAGCGCTCTGGGGACACCACACTGCCTCCCTCACGCCCTCCGACCTGGCTGTGCCCTGCTGGCTCCTCCCACCAAACAAGCTTGGGCTTGAGCCACCTGCCACTTGGCTCCTCACTGTGCTGGGCCCCTAGGCCTCCCTCCGGGGCTGGATGTCTTCTCTGCAGTGGCCGCGGCTGCTGCCCGGCGTGAGGGCCCGCCTTGCCCACGCACCTGCTGGGCACTGTCTCTGATCCCTCCCTTGTCTCGGTGGTAATTGCACAGCAGGGGAGCAGCCGGGACATCCAGCCGTGCGTGCTCACTACCCTGCCCTGCAGACGCTGCCCGTCCCTGCACAAGGCCAGTCCCAGGGCCTGGGCAGACCTTCAGGAATCTGTGGGCGTGGGGGTACTCAGACCTGCTCCCTGCCTTCCCTGCTGCAGTGGGGACCTCTGTTCTTCCCTCGGGGAGACAGGAGCAGCGTGTTACCTGCAGTCAGTGAGGCCGGCCGGAGGTGTGGGTACAAACAAGCCTGGATTCGAGGTGGCCGGTGACACTGTGGGTGCCAGGTGGGAGAGGTGGGGATTCTGCTCCACATCCTTGCTCAGGACCCAGGCCAAGCAGGCAGCCCTGGCAGCAGTGTCACACCCTGGCCCAGGAAAAAGACCTCGACGAGCTTCTGATGTTCCTGCCTGGAAGCACCATGGTCACTTCCATGCACATATCATTGGCGGAGCGCCCGTGGCTGTGCCTGATTTCAGAGGGAGCAGGGAGCCCAACCTGGTGCAGCGCCTTAGCTGAAGGCCTCTGTGACTACCCATGCCCTGGCCATCTCTGTCCCGCAGGGCACCCCGAGTCCCCTGGAGCACAGTCCCCTGTGGAATGTCCTCCAGTCCCTGGGGTTCTGTGCTTGTGGCTGGGACCCCGGGAGCACGGGTTCAAGACCAGGCCCCCGAGGTGCTTCTGGGCCGGATTGGAGGGGCGGCCCCACTCACGAGGCTTCAGCTGCCCTTCCCTGCCTCCTTCCTCTCGGCCCACATGCCGGCCACACACGTCCCATGAAGTTGCTGACACCTGGCTGAGGCCTCTGCCTGGGTACTGCATCTGGTCTGTTTCTTGGGTGTGACACCCTTTGGGGACCCTGTGCGATGTCACCATTGAGGGAAACTGGGTGAATTTTACCAAGGAACTCTTGGTGCCATCTTTGCATCTTCTTGTCTTTTTTATTTTATTTTATTTTTTGAGACACGGTCTCACTGTGCAGCCCAGGCTGGCCTCAAACCCATGGCGATCCTCCTGCCTCAGCCTCCTGAGTGCTGGGATTACAGGCGTGCGCCACCACACCTGACTTCTTGTGAGTCTTAGACTACTGCCAATTAAAAAGTTGTAATAATAACACAACCTTAGTGGTTTAAAACAATCCCTGTTTATTTCCTCTTGATTCTACAACCTGGGCAGGGCTAGGCAGGAGGCCTGTCTGTTCACGTGGATTACGGCTGCTGCAGGTGGCTTCAGTCACACACCTGCTGTGTCACCTGGTGTGCCCGGAAGTGCTGGGGGCCTGGGCAGCCGCCTGTGCCCACAAGGTCCATCCAGCAGTGGGATCGCTTTCTACGGTGGCTCAGGGCCCAAGAGGGCGGAAGTAGGAAGCAGATGCAGCAAAGCCCGTCAAGGCCTTGGCTGGGGACCGGCCGGTATCCTCATGGCCACACCCCACGGTCACAGTGGTCAGGAGACCAGCCCAGACTCAAGGTTCAGGAAAGAGGCTCCCCTTTTTGGAGAAAGGATCGCAAAGAGTGAGTGGCATCTTCAACCTGTCATGCTGCCAGCGTGTCAGAGGCTGCAGAGGTCGCTATGTGGATCCGTGGATCTGTCTGAGCTTGGGGTCGTGGAGGGGCAGAGTCTGCTCCCTGCCAATGCGTCCGTCTCTCTGGGCAGGGCCGCCTCCCTGCTCTGGTGCCGCTGCCAGATTCTGTTTTGCACACTGGTGTTTGCAATCAAAAAGTTCATTGGTCCTTCTAGTGCGTTTAAATTAGTCCCCATGAAAACCAAATCATTTCATTTGCAGAGAAGGGCTTAATTGCAAGGGGAATGAGGCAAAGGGAATTCTGTTGCCTGTTTTCATTGAAGAAAATTACTGTACTTTCCCCTGTCTCCTTCCGAAGTGGCTTTGGAGTGGGGTGTAATCACAGTGGTACCTCCTCTTCCCTTGCTCTGCACAGCCTGTGCTCAGCACTGTCCCTACCTGAGACCCTGGTGGGCCGTTCTTGTGCATCTGTCCAGCCCAGGTGCCCAGCCCTGCCCTGGGTGGTCAGCGCTTTCCTGGTCTGCAAAACAGCAGGAGTTGCACCCCATCTCTTCCATGCTGGGTCGCCCTGGATTTCATGGGGGCCCTCAGCCATAAACGGACCGCACTGTTGGCGGGGAGAAACATCCTGCCACTCTTCTTAGAGTCCATAAATCTGCTTCAAGCCTTGCTAACCAGGGCTGGCAAGATTGCACATCATGGAGGCCTCCTGACGTCTTCCCCGGCCTGGGCTTGTCCAAGCAGGGTGGAGCGTGACCTGGACCTTCTCCAGAATGAAGCACTAGGGATGGGCAGACTCCACACACCCGCGCCTGGGTCTCAGCCGGCAGAGCCCATGGAGCTGTTTCCTGGGGACCCGGAAGTGGACCCTCCAGGAGAAGCTGCAGGGCGGTGCCTGCTGCCAGGCAGTGGGTGTGATGGGGCCCCTGGCAGATCTGAGGGGCATGAGTCACCCAGGTCACTCAGATAAAAGAGGGAAAAATAAAACAAAAGTAATGTGAACAGAAACCAGAGGGATTCAGACCTCAGACAGTGCATGGACACTCATTCACTGAATATTTACTGAATGCCTGCTGTGTGTCGGGTGCTAGGACTGAGCACTGGGCAGAGGAGGCTCAGACAGATCCATGCCCTGGGGGAGCTGACACCGGAGCGGAGATGGGGAGACACACAGGAAGTGGGACACAGTGGAAGCCAGGTGCTTGGGAGGGCTGAGCCCCAGAGGTTGCAAGGGTGGGAGCGCAGGTGTGACCTCAGACAGGGAAGGTGACAACAGAGCAACCCGAAGGGGAGGCTGTGAGCCGCACAGAGGTCTGGGCACCCAGAGCAGGTGACAGCACGTGCACAAGTCAGTGTCGTCACTGCTGCTGAATCTGACCACTTCTTTCTTTGACACTCTCTGCTTCCGGGACGGAGAAGCTGTGCTGGCTGCCCAGGGAGGGCTGCTTCAGACAGCTGGGTGGTGTAACTGCTCCCCAGCCTCTTCTCTTTGAGGTTGGTACCAGAATAGTGGATCAGAGTCCACACGTGTGCTTCAGCAAAGGGAGGTTTTGAGGCTCAAAGTCAATGCTGCATGAAGGGGGAGCAGCTGTTGCCGGAGCTCTTATGATAGAAGAGTGACAAATGGCTGTGCTTACCTTCTTCCTTCCTCCTCGGGGAGGTGGCCTGCAGCTCCTGTGTGGATGTCCCCAGCTGAGATTTGTGGGCTGCAGCATCTCCCGCCCTGACCCCACTTTACTGCTTTGGTGCCTTCCACGGCCCTGAGGGCTGTCTGTCAGGAGGAAGACGGGACTTCGGCCCGGGAGTGCTCACACGGGCTTCGGGCAGAGCTGCTGAAACTCCCCAGTAGCGGCTCCTGTCCAGGTTGCCCTCCATGCCCTCCTTGGTTAGAACCACCAGCCAGCCCTGTCCCTGCAGAGCCACTTAGAAGCCCGGCATGGCCCCAGTGGAGCAGAAGCGCCCACAGCTCCCGGTGAGGCTGGGCCGCCTGGCTGCTGTGCCCAGGGGGTAATGGTGTGGCCCACTTGTCCCTTCCTGTTTTGCTCTGGCTCCATGCAGCCCTGACTGGTGCCGCCTGGCACCAGGCAGAACGGGCAAGGGAAAGTGCTGAGAACCCAGGAGGGAGGCAGAACCCTCTCCTGAGTAGGGGCTGGGCCCTCTGTCCACTCACCTCCAGTCTCCAGCAGATGCGGGCAGCCCAGGGGGTGCACACACACCAGTGGGTACCCACAGCTGGGCGGGGAAGGGCCCGAGACCAGCCAGAGTGTAGGAGGCAGAGCCCGGAGGATGCCTCCCCTCTGGGGTGCCTGGCCCTGCCACACTGCCAAAGGAAGCCACCTGCAACCTGTCACCAAGCTCAGATGCCCACAGCTTCCCTGTGCCCAGTGGACGGGCCATGTGTGGCTTCAATGGCTGGGCCCACAGGGAAAAAGCCACCTCCTTAGGGGGCCCAGTCAGCTGCTGGGAAGCCCCATCCACCTCACTGCTCTTCCCGACCTGCTCCCAGGAGGAGCTGAGGCAGACGAGAGGCGGGAAAGCAGCAGAAGGAAAAGGCTCGGACCCCACTACTGACAGGGGCGCTCCACACGCCGGTCGGCCTGCGGAGCCTCGCTGGGATGTAGCTTGCTGCCCACCCCCATGCCTCACATCGCTCTGGGGAAAAGGGAGAGCACCACGGATGAGAAACACAACCATTTTTAATAAATAGTTTATTTATCCACAGTTTCCACCCTGATATGAAGCCTGCGTGGTGCTTCATCCTGGCTGGGCCCGATTATGAGAACGAGGCCCCGCTGATGATCCAGACACAGAGGAAATGAGAGTATTGCTCAAATGAGGGCGACTGGAGCTTTATTAAGGAGACAAAAATTCCAATAAGCCCAGAAAGGAGTCTTCCGGAGGGGAGGCCGCCTCGGGCTGGCCCGCTCCTGCCTGCGGACACCAGGCTCTCGCAGCGCTGTCCTAGGGCACCGGCTTCCGGCGGCCGACAGGGGGCAGTGTGCGGCTGCGCGGCGCCCCGCTCCGCCAGAGCCGCGGTCACAGTACAAGGCGGTGGCTTCGCGCGGGGAGGCGCTCAGCCCTGACGCGGCCCCGAGCGCCCCGGAACCGGCCCGCCTCTCCTCCTGGCTGCAGGGCTGGTGTGAAACTGCAGCTTCGGAGAAGCCCACTCGGACCTGGGGGCCGCGCGGCCCGGCTCCCGGACAGCTCCCTACAGTCACAGGCTCTAACTAGCATCTTGCTGTTGGGACGAAAGCACCCCCCGGCCTGAGGCCAGGCTTTCTCCCCTGCCCCAGAGCTCCCAGGCAACCCCAAAGGCACATGGACCAAGCTGCTCCGGCCCTGCCGCCCCGTCCTGGTCCCGACCCACTGCCCAGCAGCCGCCTGTCACTGTTGCTGGCCGAGCTGGTGCCAGCCTCGCTCGCTGGCTCTGCGGGCCCCACAGCTGCTGCCGTGTCTGTCTGTCCTTCTCCCCTCTTCTGCCAGCGAAGCGGGTACAGAGCATGGGCTCACCCGGCTCCCGCCCTGGGGGAGCAGTCAAGGCAAGTGTGAATGCAGCACCACGGGTCCGGCCGCCCTGCCCTGGGGCGTCCGGGGGCAGACTTGGAACAGGCCCTGCTCGGGCCTACCGCTCGGAGTCGGAGAAGGAGGAGGGCTTAGTCCATCTCCACACCAGCATGTCTTCCCCAGCCACACGGTGAGACTCCGTCTGGATCCGGGACTCGTTGGAGGCCAGGAACTCCACAGCGCGGTCCCACACCCGCTTCATGCGCCTCCTGCAAGGAGAGCCCACAGGTGAGGGGGGCTGGGCCCAAAGACCCTTCCTGCATTGCCCAGGGAGGGGCTGGGTGTTGAAGGTGGGGGTGCGCTGGGCCGGCTGCTTCCAGCAGAGACCCGAGACCTGCAGAGCCCCACCAGGGGGCCCCCACAAGCCTCCTGCGGGCTGCAGGTCCAGCCCCAGTGCATCGGGGCCTGGGGTGAGCGAAGCATCCAACAGGGAGACCCAGGCTTAGGAACCAGGGCCACCAGGGAGGGCCCTGTGCAGGGCCAGAGAGCTGGACAGCGGAGTGGACTGGGAGGTTCCAGGGCGGACCAACTGGCCATGACCCCACGGGAGAAGAGGGGACAGTGAATGGGCAGCACCGGATGGAGGAGGGGAGTGCAGGGGCTCCCTGCCTGGAGGTGAGTCAGGCTGACCTGCCCGGGGACGGGCTCCAAGGACAAGGAAGCACCCCCCTGCTGGGCCAAGGAGGAGGCAGCGCCACCACCCATTGTGGGTAATGAGGCGCCCAGCGGAGCCACTGCCGCCCCAGCACCGCCTCTTGCTCTAAGCGAGCTCCTCGATGCCTCAGCCTCTGGAGCAGGCCCTCAACTGCCCCTGGGCAGATACTAACAGGTCCTCCCCAGTAGGGCCTGGCCTGGAAGGACGTGGGGTGGGCGGGCCTCAGGTGCAAGTCGCTCCGACCCTGCGTGTGCCTGACCGCAGCAGCTCTCACGGCTCCGCTGCGGTGTGCAGCCTGGGGCTGGGGCCGGGGGGCACCATCCCTCATGTCCTTGTCTAACGGGCTGGGCAGTGCCATCAGCTCCACCCAAGCGCCAGTGGCCTCGCAGGGAGGAGTGCTCCGGCCAGGCAGTGACTTGGCTAGCTCCGAGGCCACCTCCTGGGCACCCTGTCCCCTTCCCCTTGGGACTGTCACTGCCCAGGAGCACGCAGCCCTCTTCCGCTTCCTGTCAGGGGTCGCCGTCTGCAGAATAGTTGCTCCAGCAGGGCAGGGATGCTGTCTCCCTGGGTACAATGCCCAGTGCACACAAGCGCAGACAGGGCAGCCCCTTCTCCGCCACCTCCGCAGGCCATGGAGGAAAAGGCGCCACGAGGGCTGAGCGAGTGGCCCACGGTCACACAATGACTCCTGGGCCGGTCAGGGTTAGGGAGACTTTGGGCACCCCAGGGGCCTACGCTGCAGTCTGCTGTGTACACTTCCTGCCTGGCCCAAGTGCGCTGGGCGGGCAGGGAGGTGCTGAGGTCCTCCTGTCTCAAATGGACCCTTGTCTGCTCTTCTGGTTCCTCCTGGCAGCACACAAAGCAGTGACGTCCACATAGGCCTGCTGGAGGCACCACAGAGATGCCACTAGCCGCGAGGGACTTGGAGTCCCCTTTCCCTGGGTTCCTCGCTGTTCTGATCTCTGGCAGCCATGGTGAGGACAGGTGAGCTGTGTGCAGGGCTCAGGGCAGGGCCTGGCTGCCAGGGCTCCCCTCGGCCAGCAGATAACAGCACGGCCAGAGCCCACGGCCGTCTGCCATGGGGCCACGACCTGAGGTGACACCGTGCAGGGATCACAGTGCCCAACCCCAGCAGTCGCAGCCCTCGTGGGAAGGACCAGGGCCCTGCACCCCGCCCAGCAGCCGCGTGCCGGAGGCTGACGGAGGCCTGGCAGATTCGACTGTGGGCCGGCTACAAAAGTCTGGAAAGCCCCTCCCCTCCGTCCTGGAAACAGACTCTCGCGCACACACAAGGAACCGATGCTGGCCGACGGGACCTGAGGAGTGGGTCCCAGGAGCTACGGGGAAGGTTTTCTCTTGCCTGTAGGAGTGAAAGGAAGCCCATTTTCCCCCTGCTGGCCCGGCGAGGCAGGCAGTGTTCTAGCAGCTGCTGGCCACCACCCTGAGACCACGAGGGCCCAGCCTGCTACAGCCTCCCTGAGGCAGGCACGGTGAGAATCACAGGGAAGGGCCAGAAAGCTGGCTGTGCTGTGCCCCAGCCCCGACACTCTGGACCTGTTCCGCCCTCCAGGCTGGACCCCTGTGGGGGCTCTGTCCACCCCACAGCCAGCACGAGCAGAGGTCTCCACAGAGCAGCTGGCCCCGCCGCCACACGCGCCGTCTCAGGTCCTGCCTACCCAGGCTGGGCCTCCTCCCATGGGCTCAGCTGTACTCACCGGCTCTGTGGAGGGATGAGGGTGTCACGCACGTGCAGGATGCCCACGTACGGGTAGCGCTCCATGTCCTGCTCCCAGTCCACGTAGTGGTCCTGGACCACATCTGTGGGAGACAGCACAGTTCAGGGCGTGGCTGCGGCGGGTGCAGGCCGCCCTCGGGCCGGGGAGCACGCACCTATGATCTTCTTCACCATCTCGTACATGGCCTGTTCCTCCTCCTCCAGCTTCCGCCATCGGTACTTCAGGAGGATCAGGAGCCCCCAGAGGAAGGCCAAGCCTGGGGGGAACAAGGCGCTGTCAGTCCCTGGTGCCGGCCCAGGCTGCTCAGCCCCTCTGTGGAGTCCCTGTGGGCGGACGCTGTGCTGGGGGCCGAGGGACCTACTACGGCAGGAGCAGGGCGAGCGCAGGAAAATGAGGCTCGGACACGTGCGGGGAGGACGGGCTGCGAAGTGAGCAGCGTCCTCCCGCCTCAGTCAGCAGAGGCATCCCCAGCCTTACAGATCTGTCTCTCCCCACACGCCCCAGGCTTTCATGTCCTCCCCCGGAGCAGGAACTCATTTCAGACAGGGATACATGCGGGCCTTTGTATTCTGAGATGCTGCTGCCGATAATGATCTCCAGCCTGCCAGCCAGGGGGAGGGCAGTGCGAGGCGCTGGCCACCAGGCGGGCTCAGTGCCGGGGCCTCTGGCCTCAGAGGCACGCTGACGCCCTCGCTCAAAGGCTGGCAAGGCCAGCAGGTGAGACCTGCTCTTCCCAGCCCGGCCGCCCGGCCCATGTCCTTCCTGCTCTTGTCAGCTATCTGCAGCTCCCTGAGATGTTTACATTTTTCAGGGAGTAAAATTAGGCCAAGCCCCTGCTGTGCCTCCTGCCCAGGGTTGCTCTGCACAGCAGCCGGAAGCGGTGGCACCAGCGCCTGCCCAGTCCGGATGCCGCTCAGGGAGGCTGACATTCCCCTGGCCTGCATCAAGGACATTTCTAGTCACCCTGAGGCTCCCACCACCAATCCCCAAGGACCAACAGCCAGGGCAGAGGCCGACTTGTTCATCTCCTGTTTTATTACACAGACCTCCAGTTCGCGAGCCAGAGATGAGCCCTGGGGTGGGGGATTTCTGTACCGCATCACTCATGGCTCTGAGGCCCAGTGGGCCAGGACTTACACCAGAAGAAGATGAGCACGTGGGTGACCGCGTTGAGCAGGGCGCGGCTCAGCCGGCAGCCGACACCCATGCGGGGCCGGGCAGACTCCAGGCAGACCACCTTGTCCACGGACGTCACCAGCTCGGACGGGTCTTCCCCTTTCAACCTGTGACAGGGCATGGGGCTCTAACGGCACCCAGGGCTCTGAGCCCAGGCCTGAGCCCCACTCCGAGTCGGAGGAGGCAAGAGGTAGAGGATGGGGGTGCCCTGGGGGCCCTGACTCGCTACAGAGCGGGGCTGGTATCTTGCCTATGCTCTTCCGAGAAATGTCCCACGTTGGCTACTTAGAAAGAATAAAGCTTTCAAGATGGCAGCAAGCTCCAGCCCCTACCGCTAAAGTGATGCCCCCTCTGTCGGGTCTTTGACAACCTCTCTCAGCGTGCAGAAGATTAAACTGTAAATTGGATTCCCACCTCCCAGCATAGAGAAATGGAAATGTTTACTGAATCACTGGCTTTGCAATTGCACGGCAAGAACCGAAAGACAGAATCTGGGAGGTTGCGCTTTTGCTCTGTGACGGTGGCCACATAAGCTGTTTAAGTGTAAAGGTCACAGAGCGTTGGGGAGGGGGGGCTCGGGATGGCTGCGATCAGAAGCCACCTGGTTTCCTGTGCCCCATTTTCTTTTTCTTTTTTTGAAATGTTTCATTGTTTTATTATACTTACATCAAAGCAAACATGTCTTAAGTGGTACATATTTTTATATACAGGAAGAAACATCTCCCCCCCCCCCCCCGGTACTGGGAATCCAACTCGGGACCTTGCACTTGTGAGGCAGGTGGCGGCACCACTGAGCTAAACTCTGGGCCCTGTGCCCCATTTTCAATGCTGACTGTCTGAGCTCAGCTGCCCTCCCCGGTGTGGGAAGGCGAGTTCCATCATTCCTGCGTTAGTGGCTTCCACGGGCGCTGTGGAGGAGAAAATCCGTATTCTCCTCTGCCTTTTTCAACACAAGAAAATCGCTCAGCCACCGAGGGCAGCTGTTTTGTAAGCTGGCGAATTTTAATCATGCTATGCATCCAGTTAGCGAGCTTTGGGCTGTGCTGCTCAGGGGCTTCTGCTGGATGCACTGCTGATGGAATTAGTCATTTGGGCGGATTAGAGGAAACAAACAAAACCCTCGAGGGCCTTTTGATATCAGGAGCTGGAGCTGAACAGAGGTCCTGACAGGTGGACAGAGGCGCAGGCAGGGCCAGGTGAAGCCTACCCTTCCACACTGGTCTCCAGGGCAAGGCACCCTTTCCCCCGCTGAGCAGCTGCCCGGGCCTTTCAGCCTTCTGAAAGGGTTTGCTATCTCTGCTAACAGTGCTCGCCTGTGATAAAAGCGAGCGGAAACTGCTCCATCAGAATCAAATCCAGTATTTCCCAAGCAATTTCCACACTGAGTAAAAGCAACATACAGAATCATTTCATCTACAAATGAAAACTCGCACCCACGGAGAGGAAATGCAGAAAAACGTCGTCCCTAGCAAACCACTTGGGATGGACAACGAAGAGGGCAGATGGGGGCCCCGAAGCAGGACCAGCTGGGATGCCCCACCAGCACCCCAGCAGCTGGATCGGGCAACTCCTGAAGCTGCTCTGCTCGGACTCTGCTGCCAGAACCACCTTCCCCAGCCACACCGACTTCTGGCCCACTGTGAGCACTCACCAGATGCCCACGTCCTTATTGCTGCTCAGTATCCAGGTCAGCGCCGCCTCGAACTTGGCAGAGGAGCTGCTGGTCACGTTCTGTGGGGGAGGGAGGTTAGAGCTGCCCCTGGGCGGGGCGGCTGGAACCAGAACCGGAACCGGAACTGCATTCCCTGCAGCTGGACTAAGGAACCCTTTCCCTGCAGCCCACCCGTTCTGCTAGATGCACACGAACTGGCAGGGAGGAAATCTGCAGTGATGAGAAGCAGCAAGGGGCTCTGACCAGAGAAGGCTGCACGGGAGCAAGGGAGGAAGGCAGTGCGGCTGGGGGGCGGCCAGAGGCCGCCCAGGGCTGGAGCTTCAAGCCGACCCAGCGCATCCCGGGCCCAATGGAAAAGGGTGTGGGCTGGGGGCAGGGCTGGTGACCGCTCCCGGACTGTGTGTCCTCCTGCAAGTCCCTGACCCTCTCCAGCCTCAGTCTCCTCTGCAATGCAAGTGGAACTGGACGCCCACAGGTCCCGGCTGGCTGGCTCCAGAGTTCCATAATTCTACCATCTGGAGGCCATGCGGAAACTTAAATGGACCCTGAGAGGTCTGAATGGAACCACGGGTTAAATGGGCAGGTCAAATGTGTACCCTGAGAGTGCTGAAAGGGGGAGCGGGGAACAGGGCTTAAGGGGATCCTGAGCTGGACATGGAGGCACACGCCTGTGGTCCAAGCATCTGATGGGCCAACGCGGGAGGATCTGGAGTTCAAGCCCAGTCCCTGCAACTTAGTGACTTGGTGAGATCTTGTCTCAAAAAATGAAAATAGGGCTGGAGATTTAGCTCAGTGGTTTCACTGCCTGCCTTGCAAGCACAAGGTCCTGAGTTCGATCTCCGATACAAAAAAAGAGAAAAAAAATTAAAGGGGGGTGGGATGGGCATGTGGCTTAGTATGAAGGCCCTGGGTTCCACCCCCAATATCACACAGACACATGAAAGAGAAGAAAAGGAAAGGAAAGGAAGAAAAAGGGAACCTGCAGCCATCGTTTGACTGGTGATAGGCAGCTGGGCAGGAGGGAGCAGCCACACTGGGGAGCAGTGCCCATTGTGGCCCCCTTGTCTTGGGTAGCCTAACGTTCCACTAAGTTTAAAAAAGAGAGCGAAGCCAAAAGTCACAAAGCAAACACAAGACAAAAAAGGGAAAACCTGCAGGGCTTAAAGGATCAGTACCAAAGCCCCAGCCCTTGGGACTGAGGCCACACAGCCTACTCACTGCTAGGTATTCCTGGGCTTCCAGAATGGGAATGCATTTGCTCTTTAGCTTCTCTGGATTTCCACACTCAAAATTACCTGGGAGAAAAAAGACACATTCAAACACAGATATGGTGAGAGAAGAACTACTCTGAAAGGGACTAAAACTGCAGCAAGAATCAAGCCATCAGCTCTAATCGGGAGTGTGTGGCCGGTGGCTCCCGGCTTCTGTGGGGTATCTTCACTCTCCAGCAAGATCAAAAGCCACTTAGTTTGGATCGATTCCAGATCATTAAAACCTGACCTGCAAAGCAGTGTGGCAATTTGCATTAAATGACTAAAAAGCTGCCCAATACCAAGGTCTGTTTGCAATTGATCCCTAAAAGGATCAGACAGATAGTTTTGGAAGGTACCAGAATGGCACTATAAATAAACACAGCCTGGGAAAAAGGAAAGGCAGGGAGGCCGTGGCACCACAGGGGTTTGATCATGACTCGGGCTGGCAGCGTGGTCCCGGGCAGAGATGCCCACGATGCCCGTGGAGGAAGGCAGGGGTCACTGGGCAGAGGGCCTCGGTGTGGCAGCACCTGCCCAATCCTGCCCAGCCTTCAGCCCCGGGCCCTGCCCCCGGGGCTTCCAGTTGGCCCAGCTCTCTTAGAGACTCCCAGGCTGGCTTGGCCCGTAGCTCTCCTGCAAGGGCCTGGGCTGCTGCCAGGCACTGCTTCCTGTGGATGGCAGGGAGGGCGAGGGGCCTGGCGTGCACAGGACCCTCGCAGCCCCTTAGGGCCTCAGCCCTCCCCTGGCACAGCTGGGGCGCCTGTCTGTGGCCTGCAAGCGGGTAGGGAGGGTTGAAGGCGCCACTGTACCCAGCTCTTTCTTCACAGTGAGCTGCCGCCGCCCTCCACCCCAACACAGCTGCTGTCCCCGCTTCACTTGATCTTGACACTGTGTGTCCCGAGGCCAAGGTGGCTTCTGCCATCCTTCTGTCCCCAGCCTGACTGCCTCGATGGCCTCCTGATTGGTTTCTTCCTGTCCTCTCTCCGATCCATGTGCTTTGTCAATAAAGCTTGGAGACGGTTGTGTGAATGACACTGCACCACTCGGGAGGCTGCTGCGGCCACCTTCCCAGCACCTGGCTCCCTGCTCAAAGCCCTCCTCACCCCCGTCATCCGCTGGACTGAGGTCTGGTGGCCTGGCGTCCACAGGCAGCCACTGTGTCCAATCTGCACCTCCTTCCTCTGTGAAGCTGCTGCTTCCTGTGCCTGCCAGTCACTCCCGCCTGTCCCCTCCCTGCACATACGTACAAGTGGTCCCACCGGGGCTGCAGACGTGGTGCAGACCCCCCTGCCTGGGCCCAGGACCCTTTCCTGACCCCTTCCAGAGGAGGGGCTTAGGGTGTGGCCAGCAGAGAGGTTGCACTTCCCTTTGGCTTGTCCAGGTGAGACCTGTGCCTTCACAGCTGCCCCTGCCAGGCTGGTCAGGGGGCAGCAGGCGCCAGGAATAAGCTGGGACCCCACATGGAAGGCAGAACGGAGAAGAAACAGCCACCGGCCTGGTGCAGGGAAGGGCTCAAGCCAGGAGCACACATGTCCCCAGGATCCTGCTACAGTACTGGTTCTGACTCGGTGCAGGAAGACAGGGCTTGGAATGAACTCTCATTTCCACGAAACTGCCGGTGATGCTGGTGCCTTGGGTCCTTGGACCACGACTGACTGGACCATTAGCACCCAGGCCTGGGCCTGCGCAGGATGCCCAGGACGACAGGGATGTGAGCAGGAGCCCTGGCTCTGGCCCTCTGCGAGGCGCTCTTGGGTGGATCTTCAGCCACTTTGAATGCTCCAAGTCACAGTCACAGAGGACGCCCATAAGACTGGGCCACAGGATGGGGCCCAGTGCAAGTCCGCCTGACCTCTGCTGCTCGGTCGGTAGCGACCAAACCGCTCTGTCTGCTTCTTGTGCCAAGCCCTGGGCATTACCTGCACTGTGCCCCAGTGCTTCTGAGAGCCCTGCAGATGGGGGGTCGGAATAGCACGGTGACCCCTCCAACCTCCAGGCACAAGAAAGTTCACCAGACAGAGTGGGGCTGCTGCTGGGTTTCCAGAGGGCACTCCGGAGGTGTGGACAGTGCCTACCCGAGGACGGCACTGCCGAGAAGACAGCCCGGAGACCACTGAGACACACCGGAGACAGCGGCTCTGGGAGGACCAGGGTCCTGCAGCCAGATGGTGCCATCAGGACCAGATGTGCCACCACCTGCTTCCTGCACAGGCCCGAGGCCTGTCCCCTGGCCTGGCTGACTGTCAGGGTGGAGGACACAGGCCCTGATAAAACCTGGGGCCTGCACCCTTCCGCCAACATGCGCCCCCAGAGCACAAGATGGGAAGCGTCCCAGAGAAGGGGACATCTGCCGAAAGGCCCGTGCCCAGGCCAGCACTGGGCGCCCTTGAAGAGCCATACGTGTGTCATACAATACCAGGCTTGCAAAGTGTGCGAGTGCCTCCCGGGCATAGGGCGGGGCAGGGCCGAGGCCTACTCACCGGCTTGGACAGCCAGGAAGTTGTAGAGCTCGTGCAGCAGCTCCAGCAAGGCCGCCTTCTGCTTGGCCTGGCAGAACTGAAAGCACAGGACAAGTGGTCAGCAGGCGTCTGCCTGTCCCTTCCTGCCTCTCCCACCACTGGGTCAGTGCGTCCTGACAGCAAGGGACAGCTCAGGATTTAAAGAAACAGAGACCAGTCCTGCAGAGTGCTGGGCCCAGAGGTGATAAGAAGTGGGTTACTCGCCTGAGGACACTGTCAAAGCGGAGTCTGAGCCTCAGGCAGACGCGGTAATGCATGGATGGCTTCCCAGAGTACTGTGGCCTCTGCCCTGAGCCTCCTTGGAGTAAAGGCCGGCTAAAGGGGCCCATGACCCAGGGCTGCTGCCCTGCCGTCAGTTTCGGGGAACCTGGGGCCCTCCTGAGTAGGGACTTCGTGAGGGATCCATACCGGCTCACGTGCAAACCACTCAGCCCGCTGACGCCACCCACAGGAGACAGGGAGAGGGCCCAATGAGGACAGCACACCCACTCCTGCCTGTCCCCACTCCGCCGCAGCATGAGAAACACAAAGTGTCAGAGTCTTCCATGGCCCAGACGGGAAGGGCTCTTGTCCGATACTCCGATGCCTGCCCAGCTTCTGGGTGGGCCTGGAGCCATGCACAGGAGGGGACCTTCAGCAAGAGCCACAGCAGAACCAAGAAGCACCTCCCGGCCTGCCTGCGCCCAGGGCCACCGAAGGCCGAGGGCACCCTGGGAAATCAGTGGGGGTGCGGCTGGGGCCTGCTGTCCCATGGTCAAATGCAGGCGGCAAGATTTATTTCCAGAGAGGGACTCTCTAGGCCTGGCCCGCGGTTGCAGCAGCTGTCTGTGGAGTGTGTCTGTGGCTCTCTGGGCTCACTGAAGTGGCTCTGACTGTGTCCAGCTCCGAGAAGGGCCTGGGAGTGAATGAGCCATTTACTTGGGGCCTGACATTTAGAGATACGAAGGACCTGCGAACAGAAACCAGGGAACCCTTTTCTAATTAAAGGGCAAATGCAGCTAACATCACTAGAGGAGTATTACTGGAGTTATTTTTTCCTGGTTTTGTTTTTAGTCTTCAACATTTGGGTGTCCTCTCTAGCCACCTATGCTTCCGGGCCACTTGCTCTAATCATCCACCGAAGTGTTTACGACAGAAGGCAGGTTAAACTGAGGAAAGTGTTTTTGCAAAATAACCAAGAAGCACAGATATTTTGTGGATGACAGCAATAAATGAATGTTATAAGACACCCCCAAACGTGACACACCAGAAGCCAAGGAAAAACAAAATTGGTGATCTGCAGCAGGATGTCCTTCATTAACAGGGGTAACAGCCTATCAATGCAGGGGTGGCCCAGTGACCATATGTCATTTCTTTCCCAGCCTCTGGGCTGTGGAGGCCTGGCATCACACACTTAATAATTAGACTACTAAGTCAGGCCCTCTGGCAGCACAAGACTCCTCCTGTAGGATTTATGACCTGAAAATTTATTGCCTTGTATCTCCCCCAGACTATCGCAGGCACCGGCATCCCAGCACCTCGCTAATGCGGCCTGTGTGATTCATAAATGGATGCTGCTTGACTCACTTGAATATTATTTGTAGAGAACATTAGGTCTTCATAAAACAAATCTACGGTAAGCACAGACTAAGAGGGCTAATTCCACCCACAATGTGTTGCAAACAAACCTCCTGTGATGTGTCAAATCAGAACAGCATTTTTAGAGCTGCTGACGTACACCAGAGAGAGAGATCGCAGAACTGAGAGCTTGGCCTCCTGATGAAGCTTAGACACTGCTAGCCCTTCCTCCTGACGCTCGAAGGTCCTTCAACAGCCCGCTGCATCTCCCTCCCCAGATCAACTCAGGCAGAAGATCAAAGCCCCCGATGTGAGGCTGATGAGAGAGCTTCCCTAACAGCCCAGGGTTGCATATGGGGAGCTCAATTCTCTGTATTTCAAGTGCTCCTTCACTGCCACAATTGAGTCTGACACAAACATCACAGAACACAACGTGATTCTGGTCCTTACAGGAAGCCCTCCCTGCAAACGAACCCATTATGATCTTTTTCTGGGACGTTCACCTCCAGATGGTGGTAAGCATTGTCAGGAGGAATAACAAAAGCAAGAGAAATTCAAACTCACCTCATCTGTTTTTCTCTCACAGTCCACTGGCAATAATTTCACTGAGACCAAGAAAAGAAACAGAGAGATTAAAAAGTGTGGGTTGAGAAAGAGAAGACAGAGAGCACTCACAACCCAGGGGAAGTACAGTATCACTGACACAAGGGTGGCAATTAGGAAGATGTCTAATAGCTGATAGCAAAACGCAAGGGTTTCCCAATTCTGGATTAAGAATTTGAATAGCTAGGTCCTCATCCCAGTTGAAAACAAGTAGCTGTAGGTTCCTGGGCAACTCAACCACATGGGACTTGTGTATTCTCATCTGAAAAATAGGATCAAATGGGCCCTCCTTGCTTCACTCAGAGGCTCAACAAGACAACATATTGGACAGTTTCATGAATGATAGACAATGTTGTACTGGGCAGGGACTAACGCCATCACGGAAGGTGACTCCAGGTAGATCCCAGGGTACATCCCCATGTCCTCTTCTACCTCAGCAGTGAGCATCACTAGCGTGGTGACAGCACCAGTGCAGCCCATGACAGCCAGGTCTGATTAGTTTCTCTAGCAGAAATACATACGGACATATTCATGGACCAACCATTCCGAATTGACAAACTGCTCTCTCTCAGCAGAGAAACCATCCGGTGTCTGCATTTGCCTGCGAGCCCCGACTGGTACAGACACAAACGTCCGGTACTGCCATGCTAAGGCACGATTTCCCTTTCCCCTGCATCAGCTGTTCCTGCTAGGCACGCGAAGGCGGCCTTGACCAGGAACAGAACTAACCACATTCATGCTTTGCAGAGAATATCAGAAGTTGGTGAACTGGAGTGTCACTTTTATACAATTTTAAATGAAAGGATCTTAATGTTGCTTCCTGTTAGACCAGAGCCTGGAGGTAACAGACAGGCAACTTTCTCTTTTGGGGAACACATGCATCTTCAGCTGCGCAGGTGAGAACTGTGTCCTGCTCACCTCTCACTGGGGCATCTAATAAATAATGTGAGTGGATGGCTGGGAGTGTCCCTGAGTCAGATCCCAGGGTGCTGCATGCAAAAATAGATGCTTCCCCTTGGGATCAGTTTAAGCTTTCAAAAGGTTCACCCACACCTGCCCACAAGCAGGGCTACCATAACCTCCTGACACACGAAGGCCCTGTGGTCTTTCTGGTGCTGCAAAGCTGGGACCCTAACCAGATCCCATCTGTAGACCAGTGACATGTGGGGCCCTTCAGATGGGCACTAAGTATGAGTGAGCGAAAGATCAAGTGAAGAATCAAAAAGGTCTGAGTCTGTCTGTCGGGGGTGTGTGGCTTTCTCTCCAGAAAGAAAAACTGAGAGGTCTGGGTAGAATTCCGCGTGCTCCTAGCACGTGGCTGAAAGGGAGGCGTTAGACTGAGGGCTAGGGGAGGACAGAGTAGGAGAAAGTGAAGGCAGAAATCACTGTAGATGCGGGAAGGAGGAAGGTGAGGGTCTGCAGGTGAGAAGACTGGGCAGTGGGGCGCTGGGCACCCTGGGCCCTCCCCTGAGCCGGCCCGGGACGTACTGTTGTCCTCCGCCTCCTGCGGCGCCGAGGGCTTGCCCATCTTCACCCAGAGGATGCCCAGGAAGACGAGCAGCAGCCCCAGGCTGGCCCAGAGCAGCAGCCGAGACAGGCAGCGCTCCAGCCGTCGCCCCGCCTCGGGCCGGGCCCGCGCTGCTCCCGCAGAGCCCGCTCGCGGGGCCCGCAGGCCGGGGCGCGGGTCGGGGCCTAGGCTGGCCAGCGGCCTGGCCAGGGCCGGGGACGAGGCCCACCAGCGGCGGGCCGGGCCCAGGGTGGGCCTGGCGGGCGGCCGCGCGTCCTCGTCCTCCTCGGAGCTGCCCCGGAACGAGGCGCGGCGCCGCAGAGGCGCGGGGCGGGCGGCGTAGGAGAGCCCGCGGCTCCCGGCCCAGGCTCCATAGCCTCCCGCGGTCGGGTGGGCCGCGCTCGGGGACGCCGGGGACAGCCAGGGCTCTGCCCGCTGGGAGGCCGCGGCCGGCCGGGCGCGCAACGGTGCCTCCTCCCGCAGCCGGGCCTCCTCCCGCAGCCGCTCCGGGCCCCGCGGCCGGGCCTCCTCCCGCAGCCGTTCCTCGTCGCGCAGGCGGGCCTCCCCCCGCAGGCGGCGCAGCTTGTTGCGGTAGACGTCCCGAGTGGTGTCGGTGATGGGTCCTGGCTGGAAGCCCAGGGCCTGCAGCTCCCGCCGCAACTCCAGGTCCGACAGGCCGGCCATGGCCAGGACACCGCCCCCGGCGCGCAGCGTACCCGGAACTGCTCCCGCCGGTGACCGCGGCAAGGCGGGCGGGGCCGCACGCCATGATGAGAAGGTCGGCCCTAGGCGCCATATTGGGGAGGTCGGTGCCTGGCCAACGGGTCGGCCATGATAAGGAGGTCTGACTCCGTGTTTAGAGCCGCCATATTGGGAAGGTCAGGTGTGGTTTATTTTGGGGTAGGTTTTTTGGGGGGGCGGGGGTTGAGGCAGGGTCTCCCTTTGTAGTTCAGGCTGGTCCTGAACTCACTATGTTGCCCAGGCTGGCCTCGCTGAGGCGATCCTCGTGCCTCAGCCTCCCACTGCTGGGACTGCAGGCGTGTGCTACCATGCCAGGCCTTTTTTGTTTCTTCTTTTGCTCTACCAATCTCCCTTTCCCTGGTTTGTTAGGCCTGGTGGTGTTTATCCCTGAGTTCTCTGACCCAAGCGCTGTCCTTGGCGTGTAGTGGACATTCAGTAAAGTGTTGATTTAATGGATGAATTGCTTAATGGTTAGAAACAAGCTGCCACCAAGAATGGGAGACTCGATCATTTGCCACTCTGTGCGTGGGGACCGATGCGTGATCAGGTTTATTTGGGTGGTGGAGACCCAAGCACGCCGGGGCTGCGGCGGACAGGGCCTGTTTTCCTGGCCAGCAGCAAGCACCCAGGCTGGGTAGATTGGCCCTTGATATTTCCAGCTGCAAGGCGACCCGCTCCGCCGTGGACACTGGGCCACAGGTCTGGCTGTGGGGGCGGCTGAGCCCTGCGGCTGCGTGGTGGGATTCTCCTAAGGAGAAGTGGGTGGGAGGGGACCCCAGAGCCCCACAGTCTTGCTTCGGTCGGTGTGGTTAGGATGCGGCTCTGGTCCCAACTCCAACTCCAGGGTGGCGTGATTGCATCCAGTTAGCATGTTCAGCCTGTTTGCCGGTTACACCACGTGGTTGCTGGGAGGACGAGAAGAGGTCATTTGTCTAAGGTGCTTGGGACTGTGCCTAGCACACTCTAGTCCCTGTTTATACTTAACCCAAATCCTTGCAGCCAGTGCAGTGCGGAGCCTCCTGCAGGGCAGGCGATTTGGTTACAGGGAGGCGCTCAGCGGGAAGCCCCTCAGGGAAGAGAGGGCCGCAGTAGCAATGAAAATACAACTCCCATCTCCTGCCCCTCTTCCTGTTCCACAACCTCCAGCAGCTCTCAGACTCTCACTGCCCCCAGCATTTCCACCTCCTGTCATTTCTCTGTCCTCCCTGGGGTCTCCCTGTGGCTTTGCCAACAGTCCCTCTGCCACCCCTACCTGTCTGTCCCTCCCTCCTGGGCCCTGGGCCCGGCTCCTCTGTCAGGGTATTGCCTGCCTGCCACTTGCTCCACCCCGGGGTATTCAGCACTGGCCACGTAGCTGAGAAAATTACAGCCTCAGCCTCCCTGTTCCCCGACTTAGCTGCTCCCTTGTGGTGCGATTTCTCTCACCAAGTGTTGTTTTCCTTTCCTCTGCCTGTGTTTGCACGGAGTGCCATGGATTTGATATAGTGATTGCCTAACACACATACCACATAATAGTATTTTATTTCTTTCCGAAGCACTGTTTGCATGACAAATGAGTTGGTAACATTTGTGCAACTCCTTGCAGCTGTGCAGTTCAATAGAGAAAGAATGAGCCTTTCGGCATCAATACTGGCCCTGTGCATTCTAAGAAGGCCTGAAACTGATGCTTAAACAAAGTGAACGGTGCAGCATTTCACAGAGTTATGGGCTATTTTATCACAATGGATCTTGGGGTGCTTTCACACATGCACTGAACCGGAGCCCCCCTTGCAGTGGTACACGGCAGGAGGTCCTGTCGCCTCCCTTGTGTCCAGGAGTACGGCTGCCAATCTTTTTTTTTTTTTTTTTGGACTGGGGATCGAACTCAGGGTCATTGCGCTTGCGTAGCGGGCGGCAAAACCACTGAGCTAAATCCCCACCCACGGCTGCCACTCTTGTACACCTGTGGAGCCGAACAGCCCACGGCCCTTCCCCAGCCTGACCTCCCTCCACTGGGAACCAGAGGGGACCCAGATGGGCGTAGCAGTGCCCGTCACGCAGGGCACCCTTCTGCCCGCACTGTGGCTTCCGGCAGCCAATACCTGACCTTCTGGGTCTAAAGGGCCGCCTGCTCGGGTCTGCCTGTTCCGCAGGAGAAGCCTCGCAAATCACACTTGCCCTCCCTCCCAGGTTTTGGCCTTCCTTGTCCCTCCTGAGCTCGAAGCTCCAGTCCTGCCTCTTCTCTGGATTTTTTTCCAGTACTGGGGATCGAACCCAGGGCCTTCGCTCTGAGCTACATTCCCAGCCCTTATTTTTTTTAATTTTGAGACAGAGTCTTGCCAAGTTACTACGTTGCCCAGGCTGGGCTCGAACTTGGGATCCTCCTATATCAGCCTCCCAAGCACGTGCCACCAAACATGGCTTCTTCTCCAGATTCACATTGCCTCCTCTCCTGTCCAGCCACCGGCTTTGTCCCCAAGGCTCTTTTTCTCATTTTTAGTGGAGTCGCTTTGCTGCTTGGCCTCAGGCATCCTTAGCCACCCTTGTCCAGAACCCCCCCAGACCCTCCTGGGACCTCAGAGCCATGGAGGCCCTGTTTCCAGTGTGGTTGTCCCTGGGGCCTGCTTGGGGGTGGGGTGGGGGAGGCGTGCTTGACAGAGAAGGGAGATGTTGCAAAGCCAACAGCTGAGCAGGAGCCCTCCTTTCTTATCGCTCTGTGTTGGTTTTTTTTAAGGTGAGTGGCTCAGGCCGCAGTCAGGCTTCCTGATTTATTAAAGGCAAAGAGGAAACACAGGCTGCAGGGGCTCCATCCGCTTAGTACCCACATCCACATCCACGCACTCCGAGGTGCAGGGGCTGCTCAGGGCTCCCTGGTTCTCCAGGCCTCCTTCCTGCTGGCCGCTCCCTGCCTCCGCAGAGCCTTATAATAATAATGGCCATAAATCTTTCAGTGGGTTCCATTCTCCTCTTTCTGCAGAAAGCCCTGCACACATTCACCAGCTCCTCTAGGTGCTCAGGGACTGGGGACCTGGGGACCCGTCATTGGTCCCTGCTCAGAGGGCCTTGGCTCTGCTGGGCTTGCTTTCTTTTTCTTTCTCTTTTTTAAATTTTCAAGTGCTACTGGGGATTGAATCCAGAGCCTTCACACTGGCCTACATCCCCAGCCCTTTAATAACTTTTTTTTGTTTTTAAATTTTTGCAACAGAGTTTTGCTAGGTTGCCCAGGCTGGCTGAAACTTGCAATCCTCCTGCCTCAGCTTCCCAGTATGCTGGTGTGTGCCACTGTGCCTGGCTTCTGGGCTTCCTTTGAGCCATGCAGTGGTGGTGCTCATTTCAGTACCCTGTGTAAGGGGAGGTCACCCCTCATCACCTCTCCCCAGGTCTGGGGGCGGCTTAACAAAGGGGGCTGACTGCCAGAGTGGGGTTTAATGGGCAGCCATGCCACCTGCTTTTTATAATCTATTAGAAATTAAACAAAACGCTCAGTCTCTTGACCATGCTCACACTTTGATATCTGTGGGTAAGGCTTCCTTTAGAGGCATGGAACGCGTTGCCTGATGTTGATAACAAATTGTATATGAAGAAAAATGTAATGCTTTCAGAATGTTTTCTTCTGGGCTTTGTCCATGATTAGATTATACTAAATTACAGAGTACAGATATCAGGCAATTACTCTTTGCTTTTAACTATTCAATTTCATGGCAAATCCGCATAGCTTGGTAATTATGAAATCACACCGGTGTGGTTACTGAGAAAATACCTCATCATCTCCATCTTGTGAAGGGAGGATCAGGTTGCCCTGTAATTACCCATGATCCCAACAAGGGTAAAGAACACTGCCACCTGGCCTGAGCAGATCTGGCCTCCCGGCCAGCTGTGAGGCTGCAGGGGCTGCTGGGTAACTGCCTGGTGGGGGAGGGCAGCCCGGGCACCCCTGGCACTGACCCTGCTGCCTCCTGGCTCACTGTGGAGCCTTCAGCAGAGGGGTGCTGCTTTCCGCTTCTGTTCTGTGAACATTTCTTCTCTCCCGGCTCAGCTCATGGAATCCTCCCCAGCCTGCCCCCCATTTCCATTTCTTCCAGGGCCGCCCAGTGTCCTGTAAGTGGTCGAGGCTGCTGTCCTGGAAACTAACTGGAGCAGCTCGTTTGGCAAAAAAAAAAAGAGTTATTTGAGCTGATTGCAAGAAATCGAACAGTGGCAGCAGGAGGAAAACGAGGAAAGAGGAAAGAAAGGAGCCGACACTTCAGAAGAGGCTCTCTGCCAGCGCATACAGATGTGGGTGGGCTAGGTCCCCGTTGCAGCTCATTACTGGGAAGCACATCAGGGCCCACAGGCCGAGGGCTGGGGATGAGCAGGCTGGGGTGCCCAGAGCTGAGCAGGGCTCTCTGTGGAAAGGAGCGCCAGAGTCTTCCCCTGCTCTTGTGCTCACTGGAGCAATTCCCATTTTTAAAAATGCAGCCCATGCAGGGTGTCCATGGGGGGAGGCTGAGGCAGGAGGGTGGCAAGTTTGGGCCCAGCCTGGGCAACTTGGCAAGATCCTGTCTCCAAAAAAAAAAATAAATAAAATAATAATAATAATTTAAAAAAGAAACAGATGCAGGTTGCTTGAAGAGAAATTGCCAAGGAATCCCATTTTCCTCCCTGGCGACTGTTTCAATGCTGCAGAGGTGTGTGGTGGGCAGGGTCTCGGGAGAAGTTTCCCAGCGGGTGTAAGGGGTGCCTACCTCTGGGACTGACGGTGGGGAAAGATGGTTCCACTGTAGGGGCAGATTGGAGCGGAGGATGAGGGAAGGCCACAAAAATCCGCGGTGTTTTTTGTTTTGGGGTTCTTTTGCATGGAAAGAGACTGGAGCCTCTTGGTTTTCTGCTCTTGGACGTTTTGGGGATGGGGGTGACCGGTGGGCGGTCCTGGGTGTGGCTCCTCCTGGCGAGGTGTGCTGGGCAGCTCCCTGCGGCTCCTCCCTTCTCTCCCGCAGGCCCAAGCCCTCTGCAGCCAGTGCCCTGTCTTGGCAGGGTTTCCCAGGAGCTCGCAGCTGCTTGGGTTGATGAGTGTTTGTGAGGGAATGTGTGGAACAGGCGGTGGGCAGGGCCTGCACCCTACAAAAGACCCGGATGTTCCTGGAGTGAGCTCAGAGCGCCCCACACAAGGGTCCTTGGTAAAGGCTGGGCTCGCTTGTTCTGGTGACCACTTCTCTCCAGGGCTCAGCCCCGCCCTCGGGGTGGCATACAGGGGCCGGCGTGGAACTGCTGGTCACCTATGGAGGGAGGGAGCGGTGAGTCCTAGATGGCCCCGGTTTATAGATAAATGAACACTCATTAATATAAAATTAAATCAGAATGAAATTTTGCGTCCAGTTTTGTTTAGGAGGCAGAAATAAGTGGGCTGGGTGTGCAGCTTTGCTGCAGATGCCGGAGCCTGTAGTCACAAGGTGATAGTAACAATAGTCGTTTACTCCCTGCTGCTGCCTCCGAGCCCAGATGTCCAGGCAGATATTTCCGCCTCGCTCTTGCAAAGGCTCACTGAGGTTTAAGGGCCAGTTGGAAGTTACTCAGCAACCTTAAAAGCCTGTGGCCCGCTAGACCTCGATCCAGTCAGGAAACAGAATGGGCCGGGATTTGGGCCTGGCTCTGCCATCGATTTCTGTGTGGGGAAGCAGATGCCAGCTCTCGGCCCCAGCTTTGTTCCCGGTCGCAGGGCCCGGCGGATCTTCCCAGCCCACCCACCTGAGCTCATGTCCCAGCTTAGCACTTGCGTGGTGCTAATGTTCGTGGCGTTTGTGGCCAGTTCCCTTTGAATCCTACTCCCCCCTCTCCTCCAGACCTGAGTTTGCCCTTTGGAAATTAGAATATTAAATAGGACAGGCGTCTGTATGCATCTCATGCTTTATTTGCTGGAGAGGAATCTGCTCTGCGGAGAGCTTTGCTCCCAAGGCCGTGCCGTGGACTCTGGCTGTGCTCAGGAGGGTGGGCACTTGCCGGTCACCATTGCCCAAGCAGCTGTCACTGTCACTGGGCTGTGGGAAGCACAGGTTTGCAGCTCAGCGGTGTCAGCAGGTCTGCTCAGGAAGCCACCGCCTCAGCCAGGGCTGGGAGGAGGAGGAGGAGTGGGCACCCAGCAGGCACTGGTGGGAGGCTGTGCTGTGAGCAGAGGGAGTGGAGGGGGAGCTCTCCTAGCCTGGGGCAAGTCATTTTGTCCAGTGTTTCCTCTCTAGCACACCTCCTCCTTGGCCTCTCCCTGGTCCCAGAGACTAGGAGGAGTGATCAGTGGCTGTTTGTCAGACAAGATCTAGCTTTGCCCAAGTACCTGGGCAGACCTCGGGCTGGGCCAGGCCAAGTGGGGCGCAGGCCTTAGGTCTGCAGGATGGGTGGGGAAAAGGCAGAAATGAAGTTCCCCCGGCTGGCCAGGTAGGCTGAGTGTGTCGGGCAGCGGGGCTGGGCGGGCTGCTCTTTGTCCTGGCCCTCTGCCACCGGGTGCCTGGAATGGGCCCCGCTGGAGTACGGGGCTCTGCAGCCCCAGCCCCTCTGTGAATCCATTTCCCTGGGAGATGGGGTGCGCCCAAGGGAGACAGAGCTGTTCTCAAGTGCAAAGCGGAAAAACAAATCAGCCTGCTCGGATGCCCGCTGGAATAGGAACGCCAGGGTGGGGGAGGCCAGCCCGGCCCAAGCCACAGAGACCCAGCCACCTGCCCTCCCCGGACCAGGCTGGGTGGGCAGCAGCGCCCCACTCAGCAGCGCATCCAGGACGGCCTGGTACTTTTCCAGCTGCCTGGCGCTCAGCCTCATGCCAATTTCCACAGGAGCAGTCAGCTGTGAAATAAGGCAGAGTTAACAAGCAGGCAGCGGTGCGGAGAGGGTCATTAACCCCTAGGTGCTCACGGGGGCGTGGGGGGGGCCCACAGAAGCCGCCCCGTCCCTGTGCATCCGTCCTCACCAGGGCTGAGGTGGTGGCTGCTGCTGGTGGGACCCCACCTGGCTTCTCTCGGGGGAGAGAATTCACCCCGACATGACAGGAGCTAAGCTCACAGAGCATCGCCAGGTGCCGGGTTCTGAGAGCTTTCTCTGCACTGAGCCTCAAGGCCCCGTGAGGTGGGGACTGGTAGTGTGCCCATTTTGCAGAGGAGGAGGAGGACGGAGGCGGAGAGACTAGCTCAAGGCCCCCAGGCAGCAGAGGGAGAAGACGGCCCAGCCTGCGGCCCCTTCCTGTCACCTGTGGGGACACAGCCTGACCCCTCCTCAGGAGCCCAGAGTCGGTGTCCACGCTCGGCACGTGAGGAGGAAGGGGCCCCACACCCCCGAGTGCTGGCAGCATGGCCCGGAGCTGGAGGGTCAGCGCCCGGAGCCCGACTCCCACCCGGCCCTGGCACGGCCCTCACGCTCTCTGCTGGCAGCTGCTGCACTCGTCTGCAACGCTGACCTCTCCCCGCCTGCACCTGCTGCCAGCCGCACAGGCTTCGGTCTCGGGGAGTGGCCCATCCGTCCTGCAGGCTGCTCCGGCCACAGACCTTGAAGTCGGCTTTGATGATTCTCTTTCTTCACATCCTGAGTCCATTCCTTCAGAAAATCCCGCGGGCTTCTGCCTCCACACCATTTCCAACCTCTCTCCTCCTCCCCTCCCTCTCCAGCCTGCTCAGGCCTCCCCACTCTGCCCTCGCCCCTGCCGTCTGTTCTCAGCACTGCAGCTGGTGGCCCCTTTGGAATGGAAAGCAGAACAGCCCTCCTCTCCTCAGAGCCCCCAAGGGCTCCCGCTTCAGCAGAATGAATTCAAAGTCCAAACAATTCCCAGCCAGCCCACAGTCTGGTCTTAGCCACTGTCTGCCCTGGCTCTCTGTGATGGCCCTAGCCCTTCTCTGCCCCAGGGCCTTTGCACTCACCAGCTGTCTTCTGCCTGGACTGTTCTTCCCTATATGCCCCTGTGGTTCACTTCCTCACTTTCTTCAGGTCTTTGCTCAAATTCCATTTACTCACAAAGCCTGCTTTGCTCCCCCTATTTAGACCCCGACCTATTGGGCTGGGGATTTAGCCCAGTGGCACCACGCCTCCCTTGCAAGCACAAGGTCCTAAGTTGAATCCTCAGTACCACAAAAAAAGAGAGGAGGACCACGGCCTACTCATCTCCATGCCCAGCTTAATTTGCCCCATAGCACTGTTACCACCTGCCACCCAAAGGGCTGGATCATTATCTTGTTTGTGGTCTGTTCCTGTATCTCGTTTCTGCTTCTTCACAGGGTGGGTCTTGCTCACTACTCTGTCCCCAGTGCCATGCGTGTACTAAAGGCGAGTTTCCTCCTCATCTGGACTGAGGGGTCTGTGAAGTTGGGGAGCTGCCTGAGCCGCCAGACTCATGCTGTCCAGGCCCCGTACCGTGAAGGAATGGCTGGAATCTGGAGCCCCCAGATCGAGGTTCCTGGACCCAGCCCCTCTCCAGGCCCAGGGTCCCCAGGAGGTCTGAGCCATGCTATGTCTGCTGGGCGGCTCCTTCTCTTCCTTCAGCTCTCCAGTTGGACACCTCCTCCCAGAGGCCTCGTCCTCCCGCCTGGGCTGGGCAGAGCCCCACTGGCCTGCTCACTGTACCCGTGGGTGCTGCCCACTAGCCAGGCTGGAGACCATGCCTGTGCTAAGTCTCCCCATCGCCCCCTTCGTGTTCACCTTGATCACCCCGTTTTCTTCTTCCTCTGTGAGCTCCCAGGGGTATTGAGGGCCTGCTTCTTCTGACCTCTGCTGCATGCTCAGGGATTTCTTTTGCCCTCTGCTCCGCTCCCTTTCCTGGGGACAGAGCATTGTACAAAACTGTGCCCCCTCCCCTGCCTCCCACCCCCATCCCGGCTCCCCAGGACCAAAGGACCTCTGGCCCCAGATGCCCAGTGGCAGGAGGATGGATGGGGCTGGACGGGCCACCTAGAGGGGGAGTCTGTCCCTTTGCAGTTAAAACATCGCACCCAGCTTGTTACTGTTAATTAAGTTAAAGCTCGGAGAATAATGGCGGCCCTTCGCGCATATTAAGTGCGAGAATGTGTCTTTCTTAGAGAGCCTATAAAAAAGGTGGCAAGACAGCCCGGCCTGCGAGGCGCCATGGGGTAGCCCGGAACTGGGAGTCCCTGGGAAGTGATTTATAAGAGGCGAGACAGGGGGGTGAATTATGGAGCAAGGAGTTTGCAGTGTCTTCATAAAAATCCGGGGCCTGGCAATTAGGAGAGGAAAACCGCAGAGCAGTTTAATGCAGCGCGGCCCTGGCTCTGCTGTTTCGCAGGCCTGTGCTCTCCCCAGCCTCCCAGTCTGTGGGCCCTGGACCTCACCTGGAGGCTGCGGCCCCACCTGCACCCCTGCTCCCGGGTGTGGCCTGGCCTGCCGGGTGGAAGGAACTACAGGTCTCTCCAGGGCTGGGGAGGGAGGGTGTGAGTAGGCGCCTGTCCTGCAGGGGCGCTGCGCTCAGCCGGGCTGTGCAAAGGGCCATTCCCCGGACGTGGGGCCCAGCCACAAGGCAGCGAGGCCGGCAGCCCGGAGACCACCTGGAGAAATAGCCCCTGCAGTGTTCCTGTCCTCACAGACAGGGCGCAGAAGCCCCGCTTCTTCCTGTCCTTGGTTAAAGGGAGCCAGTGTCTCCACAGCCACTAGGAAGCTGTGTGGAGGCAGAGCCAGGCCCGGTTTTTCTCAGGCCGTGCTCTGCAGCGGTGACAGACCCAGCCGGGCCCTGGCTCCTTGGCCCACGGCGCCTCCTCCAGCAGCACGTTCAGGGGTGGGGCCTCCTCCCTCCTCTGAGCCCCAAGCACTCAGCAACAGCCTCACCTATGGGGTGTTAATCACGTCGGCCTGTGACAGCCCTGTTTTGTCTTCCATTGTTAGTTAATTTTTCATACTTGCTGGGGCCGCAGTCTGCTCCTCAGAGGCAGGGGAGGCCTGGAGCCCCTCAGAAGGGTGGCAGGAGAGGGAGCAGCGGGGCTTCTCACCTGCATCCTGGGGATGAAGGCTTCGGTCTGGGCAGCCAGCAGGGCAGTCACATGCACCACCAGCAGGGCAGCCATGGCCTTGGGGGACACCATCCAGGAGCTGGACAAGGAGGGCTCCTGTCACCAGGTGGGGTGCGTGCGGACTGCCTCTCTGACCCTTGCCCCACTGTGGCTGTGACATCCTGAGCAGGCGCTCAGCCTCTGGGGTCCCGGCCTTCCCGGATGAGCGCCGAGCAGGCACAGCGGACAGAGCTCCCGGGAAAGGCCATTCAGCCCTGCACGCACACAGGGACAGTCTCCGCTCAGAGCTCTTCTCATCATTAGGCAAGGTCTTCCAGGTCAGCTGGTCCCCTCATGAGGCAGGAAGGACCTCCCCACTCAGAGAAAGAACTCCTAGGTTACCATCAGAACCCAGGGCCTTACCCCTGCTCTATGTACTGATTAGGATGAGGAAACAGATAGGTCCAGGCCCCTCAACCCCAGCGTCACCCAGAAATGCCAGGCCGAGACCCCAGGCCCACCGAGGAAATGGCTGAGGCCCTCTGCCCACCTGGAAGAAGAGCCACACGGAGGAGTGGTGTGGGGTTGGGGCCGCTGTGCGGAGCACTGGCTCTGGAAAAGCTGCTCCCTGCTCCAGTGCGGCGGCTGCATCTTGGCCACGCCCAGAAACAATAGGTCGGGGGCCTTCACCTGGGGCCCCACTGACCCCCCGGGGCCGGGAATGCTGGGGATCCCCGGGCAGTGGCTATGTCAGGATCGGCCCCAGGACAGGGGCTGGGGCTCTGGGGGCTCGGGTCCTGCCAGGGGCTGTGGGGCGTGGTGACTGCAGAGGCGCAGAGACCTGAGGAAGGGTGGGGCTGGTCCTGGGCGGGCTGGCACGGCCTGGGATGCTGGCCTTCCAGCTGGCACCTTGCCACGCCCCGGTGTGGGATCCTCTGTCCACAGAGATGGAGGAGGGTGGCGTCCCGGGCCCTGGGCCCATGCTGGTGGGTGCAGGGCTGAGGCCTCCAAGCAGGGAGGGTGCAGGTGAGGCATCCGGAGAGCTCAGGGACCTGGACGCTGGGTAGGAGTGGGTTTTGGTCTGGGCCACCTCCAGGCTTCTCCGAGTCCAGCTCCCCTGCACCTTGGAGAGGAGCTGCTGCTCTCTTCTCCTCCCCTTCCTACATTCTCTCTCTATTTTGTTCAAATTCCATGAGCTACAACACAAGGCTCAGACTGCCTGAGCCGCGGCCCCAGCTTCATGCCAACTCCCGGCAGGCTGGGAGGGCCACCGCCCGCAGGAGGCCACCCCGAGGAGGCCAGGGCCCGTGCAGAGCCCGGACCCCTCACCCCTACTTCCCGTCCTTCCCCCACTGCAGTCCCTGGGGCCCCCACTTTCCCTCTCGGTGGAGATGCATGTGTCACATTTAAGGCGTCCCATTTCCTTAGAGATTCTTAGATCTTTTCCATTCTGGTGTTTGCATTTAATTCACTCCGTAAGAATCAATAAAAACTTTAAATAAAAAAGGCAAAATCCAATTGCTGCTCATTTTCTTGATTCACCTGGCAGTTGCCTTGTCACCTACTTTATCCGAGTTCCGGGGACCTGGGAGGGGAGCAGGGAGTGGGAGCTGATCCTGGCAGGGGGAGGCCTGGCTTCCCTCCAGCTCTGCTCTGCCCCTCAGCCTCCAGCAGCAGCGCCCTGCATGCACCCTGCTCACTCTGGCTGGGGTCCTGGCTTGGAGTCGGTGTTCCAAGCCCCCTACACCAGCTTCTGCTCTGCCTGGAGCTGCACTGCCCGATTCTCTCCTGCCTCCACCCTGTGCAGCTTTGCCCGTTCACTTGGGCAAAAGCCCAGCAAGGTGCAGCCAGGCCACACCTCATCCCAGAGTTGGGCACAAACCTCTGTGTTGCCTCGGGGCCCAGGTCGATGAACCACACCCTCTGTGGCTCCTTACAGTGGCCGCGTGGCCTGAGCAGTCAGGAGGCCCTCCTGTCCTCGGCACTCAGCCAGTCTGTAGCCCTTATATATCCCCACACTTCCTTTGGGCCATTAACCTTTGGCCACACAGCTGGGGGCTCTGGGTGGGGAGCCTGGGTTCTTGAGGCTCACAGAAACCATGGGCGCTGCCTGCCTCGCTGTGGGCTTTTGGGACCTTCCCGAAAGGCCTCTTCCATGAGCCAGTTGGGGTTCAGTAGGACCAGACCCCCCAAGCCCCTCTTTCTGTCCACTTGGAACATGGTGGTGTGGAAAGAATCATTTTAATGAGTCTTTTCTTTTTTGGTCCTTAAATATACGATGCTGAACACCTCCAGCCCAACTCTTTAAGGATCAGACTCTGTGAGAGGGTTGGATCAGAAAAATAGCTTCTCTTCCATCTGCCCCTGAAAGAAAGTGTACAGTGTTTCAGTCAGTTAATAAAGAAAACGACTGCATCCAGGCCCAGGGCGGTGCAGGGCCCACGCCCAGAGGGAGTCGAGGCAACGAGGATCGTGTGGCGAGGTGCAGAAGGTTCTGGACAGTTTGTGGCCTGGGAAAGGGACCCAGGCCTGCCCAGGAAGTGTTCTCTGGTAGTTGTGTAGTTTACACAGGAAGTTTAGAGATCTGAGGAAGAAAGAAGTGACTGTGACCTGGGGTGACCTCACTGTGACCTCACTGCTGCCAGACAGTGAGTTCTGACTAAACTCAGCCACACTGTGAGGTTGGTGCCCTCAGGTCTCTCCTTCTACAGATGAGGAAACTGAGGCACAATCAAACAGCTCCTCTCTGGCCCTGCTGCAAGGTCTCTTCCTTCAAGGTCAGGGCTGCTGGGGATTCAGGGCACAGAGTCGAAGCACACGGATGCAGGCTCCCAGGGGTTCCCAGTCAGGCCTAAACGTGAGATTTGAAGCTTGATGTCAGGATGCCGGGGGTCCAGGGGGCATCACACAGGGGCCATGATGAACGCGTCGCACTGGACAGTCACTGGAGGTGAGGGGGTGGCACTGGAGAAGGGAGAGGCTGAGTCGGGGAAATCTCCAGTGGCCACTTCCCCAGGAATCACGCTGGCCAAGAGCACCTTCCAGAGCAGCACCCCAGCCTCCAGAGGAGGAGCAGGAAGCCTCCTGTTTCCACTCCAGAACCGCTGCGGGTCAGTCCTTCTGGTTTTTCCCTCAGAAAGAAACAAAGTCCGTGGGGATTCAAACCCAGCACCCAGCCACTCAGCTCCCCACTCATCGAGGGTGATGGGAACCGATGGCGGCCTTGCTTCCTGCCAGCAGGTCTCCTCCGTGTCCCGGCCTCAGCCTTCCTCCAGCCCACTGGGCCGGTGACTGGGCTAGATACGCATGAGGTCTCCAGAGTCGCTGAGATCAAAATGCTGGGGTCTGCAACTGACGAGCCCTCACCCTGCCTGCTGGGAGTCTCGCGCCCCCGTCGCAAGCGGGGCCCTGAAGACGAGGTCACCTGGACACTGTGGGCTGTGACAGGGGCCGTCAACACCTGTGTCTGTCGCGGAGACCAGAGCCTGCTCCCGCTTTAGTACAGCCTGTGAGCTGATGCTCGAACTCTGATTTTTTAATAATTGAAAAAAACTAAAAGAATCATATTTAACGACATGTGGATGTAATTTCCGTGTCCATGAATAGTCGCTGGGACACAGCTACTATCATTCATTCACGTGCTGTCTCTGGGCCACAACAGCAGAGCTGGGGCATGTGACAGGCCGAGGGGTCCACAGAGCTGAGAACGTTTAGGGCCCGGGGCTTTGTAGGAAATGGGGAGGACACCAAACTCCTCCCGCCCCAGCCATCCCCTGCCGGGAGTCAGAACCTGCTTCAGCCTGAGCCGACGGAGGACAAGGCAGGGTGTGCTGTGCACTCGAACTTGGCTCGGAGAAGCCGGGCCTGGGTGGGAGCAGGACCCAGAGGCAGCCAGGCAATCCACAGAGCTTCAGGGAAAGTTGAGGCTGCTCCCCCGGCGCTTCACAGCAGCGCTCTGCGGTCTGCACCCTCCTTCAGCGGGGCTAATCTGGGCTCTGATCCAGAGACGCCTTCCAGAGGCTCAGAAAGGACCACTAGGAGCCTTGGAGCCCAAGGCAGGCCTTCAGCAAGGGATGGGCAGGAGGCAAGGGCTGGAAACAGTAAATAAGCTCGGATCAATTTTCCGGACACGAGTTGTGCTATCCGGGATCTCTCCCATGATTCACTGTTTCTGATCCAAGAAACTTGCAGTACTAAGTCTGACATCTGCAGCTTGGTGAGGAAGGAAGGCAGAGAAAGGAAGGTGAAGAAGGCAGCACAAGTGCTCTCCCTATGATGTGAGAGGAGCATGCAGACCGGTGGGGGTTCCAGGTCTGCTTCCAGGTCACGGTGTCAGGGCACAGGCTACTGGGAGAAAGTGGCCTCCCTGCCCGCTCCTCCAGGTGGAGAGCTTGCGTTTGGCCCTTTGGGAATCTTTCTTCTCTCCCCTCTTTATCAGCCGCTGTGGGCTTTGGTGGGCATTTTCCGCTGACATAGATTCTGCCTGAGGATTGAAGAGGAGGCTGGATAGCAAGCCTAATAATGGCTACTTTGCCTTTACCATGCACATCAACTTTCTCTAAACGTGCTCAATTAGTGGCTGTTTCTGCAGCTAGAAACTAGACAAAAATAAAAGGAAGGGATAATCTGATGCCCTTCATTTTCCAAATGGGATTTGCCCAGGAAGTGCAGTGGCCAAGGCCGAGAGGAGCCGTAAGAACCTAACCCAGGTCGGGGAAAGGAAGTTCACAGAACTCAGGGGAAATGGCTCAACTGCACGTGGGCACTTGATTGCCTCTTCCCCCATATTGGGCAGAGGTATTAGCAGTGTAGCTCTTCTCTCCTCCTGACCTTGAAAATATTGTTATTGCCATAACATCTTCATTAATGGCCTGGAACGAGGAGGCAATGGCGTGTTAATTAAATTTGCAGATGATACTAAATTGGGAGACATGGTAAACATCAGGGAGGACAGAGACCTAGTGCAGGAATATGTGGACGTGGAGAGGCTGGAACTGTGTGCTAGAAACAGCCAAGTGAGCTGCTGGACATATGTCACCAAGACCCCGAGGACAGGACGGAGATGTGGGTGGGAGGGTGGGACCAGCAGAGGAGAGCTGCACCTGGCCTGTTTTCCAGATGGTGCCCTCAACAGGCACAGGATGGTGGGGAGAGAAAGGCAGAGTTCCCATGAGCCAAAATAGCCCAGGGATTGCTGGGAATGCCAAAGCTCACGGCATAAAAATGAAAAATGATAGGGTTCAAAAGGGTGGCTGCTCAGATGGCTGGTAAGAAATAAATGTGCCGGGCTCACGTTAAACGGAGGTCAAGGAGAGGCGAAGAACGTAGCAGCAGGAGGCAAGGGAGGAGAAGGGGCCCTGGGCGCTGGTCACTTCGAAGCCCTGAGTTTAAAGTCCTTGATGTCCCGCAAAGAGCCAGGGTGGGTGACCGGACTCACGAGCAGAAACACGGGCGGATGGTGCCTGCATTTAAAACTAGGTCAAGCAAAGCACCGAGAAATGTATTTTGGGCAGCGACTGTGTCCCAGGGGACCTGGGCTTTGGTGACCCATGGGGTATTTTTATTCTTTTCCTTCCACAGCTCAGGGTCTTTTTACAGAGCTCACAAATGATTTGTTGAGAAGTGACACACCGTGTACCCAGAACCCCACGGTACAG